TGTGGGTGGGAGTCTCGCTTCCTAATGACTGTTGTCCCCTAAGGGTTCTTCCTGATGGAGGGCACTGCAGGGCACGTTCCAGGCTGAGGGTCGGAGGACAACATTGTTCCACAGAAAAGAAGTCACTGCCCAGCTGGCCGCACACATGGGACCAGCTCAGGCTCCTTTAGGGGAATCCAGTCATGGTTGGGACCAATAATAATAGTACAGACAACAACTATGAAGCCCTCATCCAGGAAGCAACAGGTTTGCGGTTCAACACCACCCAGAGGGCCCCAGAAGAAAGGGCTGGTGATCTGTTGTTGAAAGTCACAGCCATTGATGACCCTACGGAGTCTAGGGATACTTGGGAACACACGGTATCACGGGGAATTGGAAAGAACTCATAAGAAATAGGTTTTTACAATTAATAATATAATTCTCTTAGCTGCACTCTGCCTTCCAGAAACTCAGAGGCCACCATCCCAGTCAAGGTTAAGTTGGTGAACTGGGGTGAGGCAGGTGCTGGAAGCAGATTTGCATAAAGCCCTTCCCACACCAGGGCCAGGGGCAGAGATAAGAAAGGTCTGGGGAGCCAGGCCCCGGTGGGGTGACAGGATTCAGTGCTCTCAGGGCGTCTCCACCATGGTTTGGGCTCCGCTCCTCCTCACCCTCCTCACTCACAGCTCAGGTGAGAGATCCCAGGGAAGGGACCATCAGGGACACCTGGGCTGACCCTTGTCCCTCCTCAGAGTCACCTGGGGCTGGTACTGGACTCATCTGACTGTGTTTTTCTCTGTTTTCAGGGTCCTGGGCCCAGTCTGCCCTCACTCAGCCTCCCTCAGTGTCTGGGACTCTGGGACAGACTGTCACCATCTCCTGCTCTGGAAGCAGCAGCGACATTGGGGGTTATAACTATGTCTCCTGGTACCAACAACACCCGGACACAGCCCCCAAACTCCTGATTTATAGTGTCAGTAGTCGGCCCTCAGGGATCCCTGCCCGATTCTCTGGCTCCAAGTCCGGCAGCACGGCCTCCCTGACCATCTCCGGGCTCCAGGCTGAGGACGAGGCAGATTATTACTGTTGCTCATACAGA